AATGCCCCAAATTCCAGATACCTTTAGGTGGTGTTGGACCATCCCCAGCCTCTTTTAGGGAGTTGTGATTTGGAGTATTTTTTTTTTTGCAAGTGAGGAGGTTTGCAGGGAGGGAGCGAAGGGCGATTTGTGCTCCTTGGAAGGTTGCGCGCATAAAAGACTTGAACTCCCCCACCCCGGCTGTATAGAGGCCATTTTCCCACGCGTTGGGAGGGGATACGGCAGGCATATTTCTCATCAGGATGTTTGGGGGGATTGGCTGGACGGCTGGTGCACAGTCAGTTGGGAGGGAGGTCGCGTGTGGTGAGTGTTGTGTGGTGTGGGGCTGTGTGTGTTGAGGCTTGCTGGTGTTTCACTTCGGTCACAATCGATCAGGACAGTAGAGGACTACTGAGTGTGTGTGTGTGGTGGTGGGTGCTGCGGAGTGATCTGGCAGATCAACTATTGGTCCAGGCTCTGTCGAAGACTAGAGCATCATCTGAAAGCTGGAGGTAACGTTCAACTCTATAAAAACACTTAAAGCATGTTGGAGGAGCTAGGCGGATCACGATGTGCCTGCAATGGCTTCAACGATCATAATGAAATATACTTACTTAAAATACTGAATTTAGCATTTTTAAAAGGAACAACACGCACAACCTGATAAGTGGTCTATCAGCTTAGTTGTTTCATCAGAACAACACGAGATTTCAAAATAAAAGCTCAGTTTTCTGTTTAAGTTACTCTTCTCCCACTACAGGTTAGTGTTTGGGATGGTTCTCTGAAAAGTAGAGACTATAGACAATGCAAGCCCAACGTAACATCTACTTCGTCAGAGTTGGTCAAGCTTGTGTCATTTGATTATTTCTCAACAAATGTTTTAACTTGAAAGTTTTGAACAAAAATGTTGTATACAAAGTTAAGTTTAATGTGTGCATGGCTAAACACATACATCCAAAACAAATACCACTACAGCATATGTTTTAAACGTAAACTTTCAACCCTGCATTTCAAACTAAAAACAAAGCAGTCTTATCCGTTACTTGTTACAGTAGATTTTCATGTTAACATGTGTGGAATTTCAAAGTAAAGGCTCGGTTTTCTTTTAAATAAGTAACGTACTTCTCTCACCACCATGTTTGCCAGTGTTGTGATCACATCAGCTCAAAAGTGAGGTCATATTTAACCCACAAAAAGATTATTTAGAAAAAGACTTGTTGTTGTTGATCGTTTTACTTGTTGGAACGACTTGACTGTGGGGAGGAGATGTGTGCATGGTACAGAAATATGGAGAAAAAGTTACTTTGACTTAAGTAAAACACAAAATCTAACACCTACATCCCGGATCAATCTCAAATTAGGATAAAAAGTATAAAATCTTATCTGTTACTTGTTTGCAGAAGATTTTTCATAAAAAAACAAACGGAACTTAAAATAAAATCTCATTTTTTTTACTATGCCAACAAATGCTTTTAAAATGTAAGAAAGAGTTGTCTGTTTTTTGTGTATATTTATACAGTCTATGGCAGCTACAACCTACAAAAATCACATGGGCAATGTTGATGAGGATCTTTATGAATTGACACTTGCAGGGTTTCAGCAGCTCTGTGCCGTTAAATGAGGAAGTTAGGACAAAATGTTACATTGAATTTCAACTAACTCGTTACTTTTAACAGCTCAATTAACCAGGTTGTGTAACATGAATATACCATGAGGCATTTTTCCTCGTGTAGTTTGTCATCGTGAATCAACAATGTGTAATAAGGAGGCTTTAAAGGGGACCTATCATGCAAAATGCACTTTTTTGATGTCTTTCTTACATAAAGATGGTGTCCCCGTGTGCGTCGGGAACTCACGCTAGCGTCAGAAACTAATAACCCTCTTCTCTTTTCCTCCGTACCCACATCTTTTAAAAACGGGGTACAACGAGCGGATACAGATTTGCGTCCGATATGACGTAATTTTGGATGGTGAACCCACAGAGAGTTGCTATCAGAAACAATGCCTGACGTGTTTTGGACGTAATCTCGTCTTTGTTTACATTAGCTAGCCTCGCTAACACTCAGAGCTAACCTCTACTGGAGAGCACATGTGTTTAAAAAGCAGGAAATAAAAAAAGGAACTCACCTTGTGATAAACCCTGCAAGAGAAAAAGCATTTGAGCTCCATACTGTTTCAGAAATAATCCTTGATGTGGTTTAGAACAGGATGGCGTTTTATCACAGCAGAATTTAGCTTTATCTCCGGTAGAATTCTGATCAGGCATTAGCTCCGCCTCCTCTTTTTTAAGCTAAGGACCCCAAAATCAAGCGTTTCTCTAACAGCTGGAATAGAGGGATATGAGGGATTTCTAAAATGCATGATCTGTTTGTGTTTTGAGAAAAACACATCATAGACATGTTTTTATATATTTTTATATATCTGAGACCTATAATATATGCCATAAAATAGCATGATAGGTGACCTTAATGTAAATACTCAAGTAAAGATCAAGTAATATACATAAAGTACCTTAAATGTACTTGACTACACTCCAGTATAACAGTAGGTGAGTTTTTAGAGCAACAGACTCTCCTGGGTATTAACCCTTTCTGTTTCTGTAATTACTCCCACATTGTCTCCGCTGCAGTACACATGTTGTTTTGTTTTGTTCAAGGAAATATTTGAGTTAGTTTCCGCAGAAAATAATGAGACACAGAACCCGAGTCTCGTGAAAGATGACTCACCGAAACGTAAAAAATAACGTCTGATGTTTCTAACAATCAGCAGTGGGGAAAGTACATCTACTCAAGTACTCAAGTTTAAATATGAAGTATTAAAGTACATTTTCTGCCACTTCTTACTTCTTCTTCTAAGATGGAAATATTATATTTTTCACTACAATATATGTAATGTCACTTCACATTTACCATGATGTGTTTATATGATTCAAATACTACTAATCTACTAAACTAGTAGTACACAAAGTATTCAAAACGTGCTCCGCGTTGACAAATTACAACTCTTATATTTCCTTATTAACCATATGAATAGAATATTTTGTTATCAATAAAGGACGATTTTATCTTGTCTAAAATAAAACAACAGTTTTAAAGAGCTGTAGTAATCACTATTATTACTTAAATTGTAAGAACATTTTCACGATATTACTCTTCTACTTTTTACTTTTCAAACACAGGACTTTTACTTGAATAGAGTATTTCTAATCTGTGGTATTATAGATACTACTTTAATTTAAGTAAATTATCCGAGGACCACCATACAGTAGTTGCCAGTCTTGGGAAACTTAATTTCTTTCTTTTAAACATTCCTCCGCTTGAGAAAAAGATAACTTTTAAAAACGCTCCAAATTCTAAAAGTAGTGTTTTTGAGAACATCCAGCATTAGACATCAATTTCTAAAGCTTGATAAGGGGTATTTCTTTGGGTTGAAGTATCTCCTCTCTCACCGTTACAGTGCAGTTATTGACTGCATTTACTCAGAAGTGACGGAAAAAGGTTTTTGTCTACGTCACAGTTTCTCTGTTCCACCAGTTCTGCAGCTCAACACGGCACAGTGTAACAAAAAGCCCCGTTTGTATCATAAATAGCACTGTCATAGGTCACACATGTAGGTTGGGCTACTTCCCTCTTCCTGCCCTCTCTGGAGCCATATCACCTGCAGCCAGAGTGTGTGTGTGTGTGTATTGTGTATTGTGTGTGTTAACGTGTGTGTATCGTGTGTGTCCTGCAGCACCATGGCCTGTCTCCAGCTGCTCCTCTCGCTGATGGTCAGCTGCGTGGCGGCGTCCGAACGGCCTCCTCGCCAACTCCCAGCATGCCAAGTTGTAAGTAAAACCCTCACACACACATTTATATATACACACACACACACACACACACACACACACACACACACACACGGGTCTGTTTACTAAGATTTAACAGACACACTAACACTCACATTTAGAGGTCCAAAGGGATGAAATTCGCTTTTTTTTTTTTATTACTCGCACGTTTTTCGGACAAAACTTAAGACATTTCTCATTTTAATTAAACTTTTTGGCATTCAGAGGAAAACTTTTATTTATTTGTAGTTGTTTCATGCCTGGTTGTGAGTTACTGTATGTTGTGATGTGTTATTTGTTTGTTTTTGTGACTTTTCTTATGTGTATGTATTCCTTTTATTGTAATTTTAACATAAAAATGAGGAAAATCTCAGTTTTTTAGCCATCGTAATGCAAACTATGACGTGTGTTTCAATTGTTTTAAAATAGAGGTTTTTTTGCTATGTTAACAAACCAATTACGATAACGTTGAAAAAAATAATATGCCACTTAAATGTATATATATCTGTCGAAATGTCTTATTTGATGTCAAACCTTATGACATTTGGTTATATCTTATTGTTTAGAATAAAACCAACACATGAAACTCAGAGGAACTCTTTCAAAACAATCAAAAGGCAAAGACATTTCTAACAAAACCAGAACAGATCATAATTCTTTGCCAGCTTTTGGCACAAATAGAGGGATTTCTGGGGTTTATGTATACTTATCCAAAGATCCCTTCGTACAAACTCATCTGAAACTAAACATTCAAATCCAGATTTTTCTCAGTTTTCTTGCATCTCCTCCTGAAGGCACATTCCTCACATATCAGTAAAACAAATAAACACTAAATGCTCTCATCTGTTTTTAGTTTATGTCCTCGGTTGCCCACAGAAACTGAGATGAGGCACCTAATTCGTCAGGAGGTTTTTTCACATGATCCTGACAGGCAGACGATTTATTTGAAGGTTTCTGACCTGAACAGATCGGGTTTATTCGTTTTAGCTTTAGGCTCCAGTATTCAGACCCAGAAACGTTATTTTGCTTCACTGGAAACTTTGAAAGTGTTTTTATGTGAATATTAGACCTTCTGTTCCTCTGAGCTTCTGGTGAATTATGTTTTGCTTCCTATGCAATCTGCCAACAGTTCTTCTTCTAGTTATGTAATAAACTGGAAATGTCACAGGCATCACTTCCTGTGTGCAGGAGCATTTTCTTTTTCCTAGGAAAGACCAGCACATCCTAGAAGAGATTTAGTGACGTCAGGTTGTGTGAGAAGATATTTTGTTGTAGCCTTGTTAGCACGCTATTCCCCAGCTCTTATCTGTAGCATTGCTTTCTAATAATGTCATAAAAAGGTCACAAAAAAGGAAAATATAACAAATACACAAACAACTAATATCCTTACACGGGACTTTTTCTTTTATTTCACATTATAGTTGGCTCCTTAAAGGAAAAAAGCCCATTTCAACAACAAAACAAAGAAAAGTGCTCCATAATATAACATTGAAAGTATCAACGCAAGGTGCAAAACGAACACATTATAAAAGGACATCTAAATGCAAATGTTATGTAATAAAAATGTGCCTCTGAAAAGTAGTGGAGTAAGAGTATACATCACCTCAACAATCTTATTTAGTGCAGCGCTTGAGTACATGTACTTTCAAACATGCATATATCAGATTGTATACTCTCAAAAGCTTAATATAAGTTTGTTTTTAGTATCACTGATAACACCAGAATCACAGCGAAAAGTCAATGCTTTAAAATGAAGATGCTTTCTTTGAAAAATCCTTTATTTGTTCCTCAGTTCTTGACAACAGACACGAGATGTTTTGCCCCGCAGGAGTTCGTGAATAAATCAATCTGTTTGTTTATGGCTCGTTAGCAAAGAGGAATGCCTATGTCAGGATACCACAAATATTCCGAGAAGCGAAATGCACTTGGAGAGAAAACGGAGAGGAGGACAGCTTTAAGAGAGGTGGACAGAATGGGTCTCTGGCCGTGTGGTTTCAATTATAAACAACATCTAATAACTAAAATATTCGACTGGATTAAGAGGAACTGGAAAAGATGCTGAATAACTGAGTAATAGAGGTGTGACGTATCGTCTTTGGACTAAAACCACTCTTAGTGTTCGATGAAGAAGTCATCACCTATCCGTTGCAATTGTAGAAAGTTATTCTTCCCTTCAGAACGACTCACTATCGTAAACTTTAGAGGGTCTGTACTGCTGCCAAGAACATGCTCACAAATCGCCCCTCCACACTTAAAACATTTTCTCTGTATTGTGTCAGGGTTAATCTGGCAGCGTGCCGACATAATCAGACGTGTGTGTTTGTGTTTCAGGTCCAGATGGATGTGTTCTGCAGCGATCTGAGCCTCAGAAGTGCACCGGTCAACCTTCCTCATGGCGTTCGAATGCTGGATCTTTCCCTGAACCAGGTGCAGAATCTCTCGCAGGAAACACTGGCGTATCAAAACGGTTTCCACCACCTGAACCTCCGCGCCAACAAGATCCACTTCATCCAGCCGGGGCTCTTCAAAGGCATGACGGATCTGAGAGTCTTGGATCTGTCCAGGAATCATTTGAATGTTTTCGCTCACGCCAAAATCAACATTGGGCCTCTCACAGCTGTGGAGTCGCTCGATCTGTCGAACAACGGGCTGTACACGGGGATGTCGGACTACTTTTTAGCCGATTCTCCGTCGCTAATGGACCTTTCTCTGAATGGCAACAGCATCACCAAAATAGCCCATAACACCTTCAGCAGATCCTCATCGCTTAGAAGAATCAGCCTCCACAATAACGTCATCTTGGAGATTGAAGACGGAGCGTTTGAGTTCTTGAATAATTTGACTGAACTCGATTTGTCCAAGAACTCGATCACGTGCATCACAGATTTTAACCTTTGCAATCTGAAAGTCCTCAACCTGAGCAAAAACAGCGTGGAGTTCTTCCGCAGCGCCACATCGATGGTCTTCTATAAACTCACGCATCTTGATTTGAGTGAAAACAAAATGCTCTACTTCCCTCTTCTCCCCAGATACAACATGATTGAACATATTGATGTTTCACGAAACCATCTCCAGAGCATCAACGTCACAGGAGGTCTTGAAAAGAGAACACAAGTTTATTTCTATTATCTAAAATACCTTGATATGAGTTACAACCAACTCAAAAGCATTCCGGAGTCGTTCTTTCACTGTATGGGATCTCTGGAGGTGCTGAATGTGAGCAATAACTGCATCAACTCGTTCTCTATCACCAACCCAGGCCTCCTGCAGACGGTGAAGATCATCAACCTCAGTTTTAACTCTCTGCAGAGCCTGACATTTGGGGAAAACACTCTGCCGTCGCTGGAAAAACTCTTCTTGCAAGGAAACGACCTCACCACCCTGGATCATGGAATATTTCAAAGACTACCCAGCATCAAACACCTTCATCTGCAGCAGAATGATCTGGAAATCTGTTCCTCTGAGAATGAACCCCAGGATTGTGTCTCCTTTACTTCCATACCGACCTTGCAATTCCTGAATTTGTCTGAGAACTATTTAAGGGTTTTGCCTGCGAACGCGTTTGCCAACACCTCTTTGAAGTTACTGGATTTGTCGCTAAATCCTGGGCTAGAAATTGACAAAGACTCCCTCTCTGGTTTGGAGCATACCCTAATCCACCTCCTTTTAAAAGAAAACAACATTTCCAGTTTAAACACAGACTTGTCGTCGCTGAAGAGTCTCAAACACATCGACTTATCCACAAACCAGCTGACGAATATACCCGTGTGGAGCAAAGACTCGTCCATAGAGTCGCTGAACCTGCAGAACAATAACCTCGTGACGCTGAAGTACAGCTCCATGCTCGCTCTGGAACATTCCCTAAAAACTCTCTACATGGGCTCCAACCCTTTGAGCTGCTGCAGCAACCTCGACTTCCTGCAGATGGTGCAGCGTTCGGCCGTGGTCGTACCGGACATCGAGACGGTCACCTGCGTTCACGAGGAGTATTCAGAACCGGTGAACATCGAGAAGGTGACGCTCGAAATGTGCCACATATCGGGCGCGCAGAACTACGTTATCGCTGTAGTGGTGATAGTGTTGGTTCTGTTGATCGCGATGGCGTTGTTGGTTCGATATTGCCGGGCAAGGAAAAGAAAGGACATCCTACGCTTTACCGCCTGATGAAGTTGTTGGATGATGTTGGGGACTCTGTTGGTGGTTTTTAATGAAGAGACCGTAGAAACACGTGAATGTATCTGCCCAAAGTCTTCTGAAGGGACAATTTAAAGACTTGGCTTGGGCTCATCACCACCATCTTTGCCACTAAAGTGAAGGATTTGAGACGGGACACACATGAAGGAACCACGATGGCTGAACGAGACACCTGTCAATCAAGACATCTTGTGACATTATAGAGAGGGGAAGTCCCGTCCCTTACATTCGACCACCATGGGACCTTATTTCGGAAAGATATGTGTACGGTAAAAGCCAGAGAAAAAAGATCTTTGCCTCCTGTTCGAGACCAGGAATCATGCTTATTGGAAAAGATAATTTGACAGGTCAAGAAAAGTTTCAGTTTGTCATTTAACTTTAGGTATTAGATGTATCTAGAAAGACACAAAAGTTGCATAAATGTTGCAACCTACTATCTCTTACTACGTAAGATAACGTTAAATCTTTTTTTAGAACATAGCTAAGTTAGCTCAAATGTATGGTCATCGGTAGTTGAAAGCAATAGACAATAATACATAAATAAAAACTAAAAACGTGCGTAAATACCAGGATGTACCAGGATGTACTCACGCACACTTGCTCCTTTTTTACCATCCTGGAAATACATCACGTAAAATAACGTAACTATGCTACATAGCTAAGCTACATGGCAAGTTAGCAAGCTATGTAAACTAAGCAAACTAAGACAACAACGCAACTTTCTTAACTTACAAAATTATCTCTTGTAATTGACTAACTTTACATGTGTGATTCATTGCAGAACTAACAGTCGATGAAATAATGATCTGTGTTTCTACCGTACATGTTTTTTACGAAATAAAGTCGTATTGCACCAGAAGAGATATTTCTGAAATGAAGACTACAGAAAATCTTGGACTTTTAAAGGACTTTTAAACAGCTAGCATTCCTTGATCTGATGTTCATTTGAGGAACTGCAACTTTAAAGATTTATGACTGAAATTCCCAGTTTGCTTATCAAGCCACGTGCTATCTAGCTTAAGTTTATTGAATGTGAAAAAAAAGATTTACACACTACACTTCAACACTGTTCACCGTACCATGAAATGCTAAAGCAATAGGAATTATTTGCTTTCTTGTTGATTTAGAAGATGTGTATCTGAGAGGGGATTTTGTCTGTAAGCTAAAGATTAAGAAACACAAACACTACAACAGGTTGTGAAACAAAACACTATTTTCACGTACAAGGAAGTATGGTTTAATGAAGTATACAGTATGTCACAAAGAGGTTGTATAAAGCAATCCAAGCCGTCCCTTCACCCTTTGTGTAGTTTGCACTTTAAATGTTCTTCTTATTTGTGTGTATATTGTGACTTTTAACACTAAGAAATATGTTGTTATTTGACACCAAGCTGGACATTTAAAACATATTTTATGTATTGATCCCAGGCCTATGGTAGTACATCTATTAATTTGACATGGCTAAGCACTGAAATTAAAATAACTGTGATACTTGGAAGTATAATAGACATAATGTATATTTTTAGAAAACAAATGAAGGTGAAATCCAGCGCTGTGTGTAGTGGGCTACACTGGGATCCACTATTTCATAACATTTTAATTTGCTTGTCGAGTTTATTTGTCTCATCCTGTGATATAATGTAAGCAATATTTTGTAACACATGAAGGCCATTTTCTACTCTGTGTGAAACAATATGTGTGATAAAAAACATTTAAACCTCTTTTCTGCTTACATATTCTTTATTTTCTGGTTTCCTGTACACATTTTGATAAAGTGTAAAAAAAATCATAGTATGGTTTGTTGGAAATATCAAGTAAAAAGTCGTAGTATAATAGTTCAATCAGGAGAGACGGTTTTGATGTAAGAATACATATTTATTGCAGAGATACACAAATGAATGTAATGGAGTTTTGGCGATTAGGCCCCGTTATGTGGGAGTATCATTCGGGAGGGGAGACCCGATCCGATTAAACCCCCCGGGGTCACTGGTGGTGGTGAATAGATAGTTGGGTTCGGTCTGAAGGGGAGGGGCTTAGCTTGACCCTGGTGGTGGTGAATGGATGGTTGGGTTCGGTCTGAAGGGGAGGGGCTTAGCTTGACCCTGGTGGTGGTGAATGGATGGTTGGGTTCGGTCTGAAGGGGAGGGGCTTAGCTTGACCCTGGATTAAGAGGGACAGGAGGTGAAAAGGGGTGGAGATTTAAAAGGGTTAGCGGAGCACTATGATAGGCTTGTGAGAATAGAGCAAAGTGATTGGTTAAGCTGGGNAGCTGTCAAAGAGGGGGGAGCAGATTTAAAAGGGTTAGCGGAGCGCTATGATAGGCTTGTGAGAATAGAGCGAAGTGATTGGTTAAGCTGGGAAGTGACGCCCCGATCACTTATTGAGAGGAGAGAGAGTAGTAACATGGACATAGTAAATTAATGAGTAAAGAAGGTCTTCCTGGTTGAACTTGCGCTGAGCTTCATTTGTTGTTTAAAAAGAAATATGAACAAGGTCATGGTGTAGTACGTAGAAAAATATCAAATAAGTTATAATATACTCTTTGGGTGTTTCTCAATGTCGAGTAAAGCTGCTCCAGAGCCACTATTTCAAGCATACTACGTCATCGGGTGCCGCCGAAGTACTGTTCCAATCTCCTGCATACTTGGAATTCTACCGAGGCGGGCGTACTTCGTTGGGAGAAATTTCGAGGCTGCACATGTGTAGACTCCACGGTCTTAAAATCCCCACAATGCTTTGCGCAGGGACCAATTTCCAATCTTTGGCGGAAATCACGCTCCATTTAAGGCGGGGCCTCGCATATGACGCACACCTGCACACCTGTTAGCCTGTTCAACCATTCTTCGTTTTCCGAGGCTAGGAAGGATTCTTGCCTCGCTTCTGAAGGAAGTGACTCGGAAGACATGTCCTACCAAGGAAGCGTCCTCGACATTGAGAAACACCCAGTAAATGAATGAGTAAAGACGGTCTTCCTGGTTGAACTTGCGCTGAGCTTCATTTGTTGTTTAAAAAAATATATGAACAAGGTCATGGTGTAGTATGTAGAAAAATATAAAATAAGTTATAATATACTTTTCGTATTGAATGTTGAGAATATCAAGTAAAAAGCGTTATTACTTGTGTTAAATAGTCATGGTATAGTATGTTAAAATGATCATAATGTCATTTGAAAATATAATGGAAATGTGCCATAGTATACACTGTCGAAAATATGATGAAGATGTTAAAACTTGGTATAATTGTCGATTAAAAACAGATTAAAGCAAAACTATTGGGAAAAAAAGGATAAATTAAACATTATTTGCATTTAATCCATTTCAATCAGAGCTAAAGGCTTTTAGTTTGAAAATGTGACTTTTCTCCCTCTCTCTCCTGTTTAGATTTGGATTAAGCCTTTGAGTTTGAGAAAGTGCTGTTCAGCAACGGTCTAATGAAAACCTTTTACCGCCCATGACTCAGATCTTCCGTCCTCTCCTCTCTCAGGGGAGGAACACACACTTACTGAAGATAATTCACCGTCTAGGGTGGTGCAGGAAGCTGCCCTCGGAGGCTTACGTCAAAGAGGAAAAAGCCCCTTTATCTCTCTGGAAACAGACATGAGAATTTCACGGACAGTTTGTAACGTTTTCCAGTTAGGAGAAAAGTCCATTGTCTTTAAAAAATAAACATCACAATATAGTCTGGCTCTAATATCCGGGGTTTTAGGAAGTATTCAGATTCTTTACTGCAGTGAAAGTACCAGAAATATTAACGTCCGAAGTGAAAGTCCAACATTTAAATTCTAACTTATCAGCAAAATGTAGGTGAATTACCAAGAGTAGAAGAATTACTTTCCTTATACATTTGACCTAGTTATTAGATGGTTCATATTGTTGCATTTTACTGTTGACATTTTTAACTTGTTGTCCATCAAAAAGTTATTCTAATGGTTTAATCTTTAAAAACACGCAATGTTTTGACATATTTTTGGAGCCAAATCCGCATCCAATAAGGAAATAAAGCTTTAAAATAAACGAAGTGGAGTTAAATACCAGGGTTCTTACGGTCATTAAAAACCTGGAAAAATCATGGAAATTCAAAATGCTAATTCCAGGCCCTGGAAAAGTTATGGAAAACAATATTTTCCCCAAAGTCATGGAAATGTAACTAAAGTTGCATAAAATATAATTTATATCTTAGCTAAACTGTATGGTATAGTAATGAAATGTAAAATGGCATTTAACTGACGAGGTATTTTGCTGGTGAGAGATTTGAGTTGCTTTAGCGTGTAGAAGCTACTATTTGATTTGTTTTAGATAGGCTCAACATGTTTCATATTCAGACCTTATTTTCTGTTCCATGTTAAAATAAACCATTTTCAGTGGCACCGCTGAGAGAGTAATGTTTTTGGTCATGGAAAATTAGGTAAAGGTCCTGGAGAAGTCCTGGAAAAATCATTGGTGAAAAAGTGTATGAACCCTGAAATACATTATTTTACATTTTAAAATGTTTTGGAGTAGAAGTATAAAGTACCATTAAATGGACACACTCAAGTAAAGTACCTCGATGGGTGTTTGTGTTTAATTAAAAAACATCTGAAGCAGAAAGAGATGCTGTTGAAGCTCCGATTTACTGAAATAACAAATACAGTTTTCTCTCTATATTTCTGTTTAGTCTACGATAAACTGAAGACTTTGAAGTATTCAATGAATCATCATGTTTTAGCAGATCATCTTCAATCTTTCTCTTTTGATTTATAATTGTTAATCAGCCACAGGAAACCCCTCATCATCATCATTTTCATCTCGTATCTGAAACCGTCTAGACTGTGTTTGTTTGCTCACAGACGTCATTTACAGTAAAAGTGCGGCTGTTGTGCTTCAAAGTTACACAACTGATGACCTTATTTAACATGTTGATCCTTAAAAACCGAAGCTACTGTTTATTAGGGAGATTTTTGGAAGTGTAATCCATTGAAATAGTTCTGAATTTCACAACATTTTGCCAATTGATACTCATAAAAAAACAACCTGACAATGTTTTCACAGGTTATGTTTGCAATATAACTATATTTGTGTCCGTCTGTACTTTAATTAACAAACATACACATGACCTTTGACATTTCTTTCATAATTGTTTTTGGTAAGGTCTCCTATCATGCTATTTTTAGGCCAATATTATGGGTCTCAGATATATACAAATATATAAAAACATGTCTATGATGTGTTTTTCTCAAAATACAAACAGATCATGCATTTTAGACATCCCTCATATCCCGCTATAGAGTGCCACAGTGACGCGTCCTAAAACCCGGAAGTAAGTTAGCATGTTGCCACTTCCGGTTCCCTCGTCTCAGAGCCAATGGGATCTCTCCTTAGGGTTTAGGAAAATATCTGGAACTAAGGTCTGTGGTTGAGACACATTGAAGAGACGGATCACGTTTTGTTCTACGACATTAAATCCATCAGCAGTGACCCCACTGGTGATTTCTGAAGAGTGGACGTGTCTGGAAAACGATGGTTGTTACCAAGTGGCTGAATAGGACTACAGAAGTTGTGGAGGCCGTTGTACGTCATGACGCCGAACACGTAAACACTCCTCTAAGTTTGTTTGCCCCGTTCTGCTTGAAAGCAAGTCCCTGCCTCCTGCAGACTGTTCAAACAAACGCTAGTTTTGAATATGGATCTTGAGTTGGCGTGACGTTGAAGCAGCGACTCTGCTGTAGTTCCTTTATAGCATAACGTTAGCATTTTGCTTCTGGCGACTAGATTTATGTTTAGAAAATTATAAAAGTAGAGTAGACATGTGGAGATTATCAGACTGAACAAAACGTGATCCGTCTCTTAAATGTGTTTCAACCACAGATCTTATTTCCAGCTATTTTCCTAAACCCTACGGAGAAATTGCATTGATTTTTGACAAAGGAACCGGAAGTGGTAACATGCTAACTTACTTCCGGGTTTTAGGACGCGTCACTGTGGCACTCTATCGCGGGATATGAGGGATGTCTAAAATGCATGATCTGTTTGTATCTTCTACCGGAGATAAAGTTAAATTCTACTTTGATAAAACGCCATCCTGTTCTAAACCACATCAAGGATTATTTCTGAAACAGTATGGAGCTCAAATGCTTTTTCTCTTGCAGGTTTATCACAAGGTGAGTTCCTTTTTATATGTCCTGCTTTTTAAACACATGTGCTCTCCAGTACAGGTTAGCTCTGAGTGTTAGCGAGGCTTGCTAATGTAAACAAAGACGAGGTTACGTCCAAAACACGCTAGGCACTGTTTCTGATACAACTTTCTGTGGGTCCGCCATCCGAAATTACGTCATATCGGCAGGAAATCTGTATCCGCTCGTTGTACCCCCGTTTTTAAAATATTTGGGTACGGAGATAAAGAGAG